AAAAATAATTAAAAATATATGTATGATGGTTGAGAGTGTGGTTCAATGGTAAACTGCTTGCCTAGGATGTGCAAGGGCCTGGGTTCAATCCCCAGCATTAAAATATACAGGTATAAGTACAGGTACAGGTACAGGTACAGATATGGAGATAGATATGTAGATACATACATGTGTTTTATATACATACAAACACACATACATACATATGTATGTGTGTATGTTCTAAAAAAGTGAAAACTATAGGTAACTGATAAAAATACTAGTCTAGAGTGAGAAAGGGATTTGGGTGCAAAAGTCACAATCCTTCCCTTTTTCAGAACTTCTACATCTTAATCTCAGTCAAGTGAAGCTAATTAAATTCTAGTTGGTGCTGAATGGAAAGTATGATTAGACAGGTTAGAAATAAAACTTGGAATCTTTTTCCCATTTGCAACTGTGAGCTGTGTGACTTTGAACAAATTACTTTGCTTCTTTCTCTAGGTCTTTGCTTTAACACTTGTAAGGTGATGAGATTTGACTAGATTTCTGGCTTTAAGCAAAAAGTAGACATGTGCTGGAAAAGAAAAAAAAGTTTGATTCTCCCTTCCCATTGTGGTTTACTCTGAATTGGGGTAAAAATGTTACCAAGTTTCTGAGTTGTTTTATGCTGTCTTATAAAGTACCCAAGCAGTGCCCCCAACTTTATCTTTGCAATTTATTTTTACCCATTCAAAACAGAGTCTACACCCAGGAAACTCAGACCACTTGTATTGTGGGACTTAATCATATTTTCTTTGCTTTGTTCACATCATCTTCTCCATCTCCCACAATGTGTATGTTTATTTAAAAATATTAAATTCCTAGGGGCCAGGGATTTAGCTCAGTGATTCCGGCGCCTGCCTTGCAAGCGGAAGGTCCCGAGTTTGATCCCTGGCACCAATAAATAAATAAATAAATAAATAAAATAAAAATAAAAATATTAAGGTCCCAAGAGTCTGAGGGTATAGACCAGTGGTAGAGCTCATGCTTAATATGTGGGAGGCTCTGGGTTTGATCCCCAGCACTGAAAAACAGCAACAAGTCTTAGTCTTCCTTTTCCCTCAATATCATCTCAATGAAGTTTTCCAAGAAAGATTACTTTGAAAGATGCATGGAACCTGCCTTGATCTCATTCCTCTTTACATCTTCTGTAGTTTTGTTTGTTTACCCCTCATGCCCTTACCATCCCTTACCAGGCATGTTTCTTTGGAGCTGATATCATCTCACATTCTTTTCTGTATCATCCACAAAAACTTGTCAGTGGGCATACCATGAGAGGGCGATATGATGCAGAAATTATGAGAAACAGGGCTGCATTTAAATATCTGTGGACCTTTGAGCAAGTTATTTAACTTTGCTAAGCTTCCTTGTCCTCCTCTATAAAATGGGCAATTAGGTCCTGCTTCATTATAATTGCTATAAAGAGAAAATAAAAATGATATAATATTGGCATTATTAGCAGTAAATGCTTACTGACTGAATCTGTGGATCTAGATGTTAGTCAAGTGTGAATGACTTACAAAATCCAATCTATAGTTATTACTGCAAATGGTAAGTCTTTCTATACCAAATCATAATAGTAAAGTACTTTTTTTCTCCCTTAATTGCTTCAAAGGTGGGATGGACAGAAAATTCTGCTGGGTTCTACACAGATCCTCCCACAAAGATTTGAGCCTGGCAGATGTTTTCCTCTCCTCATTTCATCCTCCTGCCCGAGGAGGAAAAAAATTAATGGGGTACAGAGTACAGAACCTGAGATTCAGAGGCTGGGACAATTGGTAGCAATTATTTATGTGGAATAACTTTAAAATTCGCTTTATTAGAATTTTCCAAAATCAATAATGTGATGATTCTTAAAAATATAATGTCAAAACAACCAAATCTTGCTGAGGGAATAGGTCTTCACTACAAGTCTTGGGTTCTCTGTATAATATGTATCAATGAATTAAAGTTAATAAAATAAATTATAAAATGAATCCTAAGGCTTAGTTTTATTTGGGGCTTTTAAAGTACCCCTTTTTCTGATCACACATAGGCATACTTTCTTGTCTATTTTATCCCATTTTCTTCTTATGCAGATCATGGCTACAGTCATATTGGGTAATGACGGGATACTTATCCAGTGTTCCATATCTACACTCAGTATAAAACACACCCTTTGGCTAGGTGTACTAATCTTGTAGCATTTATTTCTTATATCTTACATAATTATTTTAACAACATCAATATTTTCTCCATTGTTTTATGCTCTGAATAGTTATACTATTAATATATCTGATGGTGGTAGTGAGCTGGACCAGTTGGGTATTTCTATGGTTTGAACGTTTCCACCAACACTCAGGTTGAAATTTCATCCTCACTGTAAGGTATTAAAAGGTGGGACCAGGTCAAACCTTTCAGAGAGGTTAGGTTTTGAGTGCCTTGCTCTTATGAATGAATTAATTCATTCATGGATTAATGGGTTATTTTGAGAATAGATCTGTTATAAAAGCCAGTTTGGTGATCTTTCATGTGCCATGCCCTGTACTGTCTGGAACCCTACAGAGTCTCCAATAGCCCCTCCACCTTGAACCTTAGATGCTCCAGAACCCTGAGCTGAATAAACTTGTATTTCTAAATCACTTGATCTGAGATATTTTGTTATAGCAACAGAAAATGGACTAAGATAAGTATCATGCATCTTAAATGTAAAATAAAATTCATTTTTTTCCTGCAATCTGGTTTCTTTAGAATGGATATAAATTCATCTGGGGCCGAAAATGGAGCATTTCATTCTAGAACATCTCAGAAGTTGACAGATTAATCTCTCTGTGGGCTTTTAAATAATGTTGAATTCTTCACAGTAAAAGAATCAACTTCTCATTCTTCATAATGTATTTATTGAGCTCAAGAATCAACACCGGATTTATTCAGGCTATGTTTCATAACCTTCTCTTTGATTCAAATGAAAAGATTGCCAAGATTCTCCAACATCTGTGGGAATGGACTACAGGAAATAAAGGCAATCTAAATCTGATAGAATTTGTAAAACAGGATTATTACCTCCATGCCCTCTTGGCCTTCCAAATTCCATAAACACTGATATATATTAAGTTCAAATATTGTAACAATAAAGAAAGCATTACAAACAAAACTAAAATCAAAAACAATAGTCAAGATGGGTGATGACTGAGTCTCCTTTTATTATTTCAAAACCAATGGTCAATGAAGACCCTCAAGCCTTTTTCTTGATGTATAATTGATTATTGTAGCTTTTCCTTCACATAAATAATGTCAAATAATATTTATAAAATACATGTGCCAAGTTAAAAGAGAAAAATTAGAATACATATCTGGATATACTGGTTTCATTACCCTTGGTGCTAATCTGTGCAAAATTATAGTGGTAGATTCTCAGTGTACCCCTTCTTTTTCTTCTTTTGATACCAGGAATCGAACTCAGGACCTTGCTCTTGCCAGGCAGGCCTAGTGCCACTGAGCTAAATCCCAGGCCCTGTGTATCCATTCTAAATCATCATAAAATTGATTATAAAATATAACAATAATCTGTACTAAACACACTCATATACCTTCTCAATTAACGAGAAAAGTAACAAAAGCAAAAGGTACAATTTCTCCTAAAATGACTGGTTTTGAATCCACTCAAGTTTTTCTAATACAAATGAAACACTGAACAATTTAGTAGTATGAACTTCACCATTATCATCACCCCTTTTACAGAGGGGTGATCTTGACTTGCAAGCACCATCTAACGCTAAAGCTTTCTGTTAACATGAGTCTGCACCTAAAAGACCATGTTTACATTCAAGCTACAGTCATAAATACCAATTTCTTCATGAATGTATAAAGAGATAACATAATCACCATGGTAATCCAAAACATCAGGTCAAATACTTGGCTGTCAAATAGCTTAGTGATATTTCAAATAGCATTTTTTTACATAGCTAAGATAAACAGACAAGAGAGTATTCTGTACAAGAAAACAAATTCCAAAGCCTGGAGATGGTTTAATAGCGACCTCCTAACATATTTTCACAGTTCTAAGATACAGTAAGTATGAGAAACCAAAACAAAGCACAGTGAATCTCACACAAACCTAGCTATACCTCCAGGAATAATAATGGAATCAAAACCAGTGGGGAACAGAAAATCTTAAATTGCAGGCACCAAAAAAAAATCAAATTATTTCCTAAGAGAAACAAGACTGTTAAAAGATTTGCTTAGAGAAAAGCCAGAGCAACAAGAATGTGTAATAGAGATAGGTCACTATCTTGAGGAAAAGAAATCCAATCTTTGGGAAAATGTCTTGAATTTTCAAACATTCAAACTAAATTAATTTTGTTATATTTTAATGTGAAGTAAAATTTCTCTGGTAATATCACTATAGAAAAGTGAAATTAACTATAATTACAGGCTCAATGAAATGGCGTTCAAAACAAACAAGATCACCTACAACACACCAGTATTGGACATATTCAGTATAGGGAAGAGGTAATAAATAAAGATTTCAAAAACATCACTGAGGCAGAAGTACAGAAGCTTAAGACATATGTTTGACCAAAAGGGAACATTTTTAGATGCTGGTATAGATTAGTTAACCAAAATATAAATTAAAGGATATTTAAAATTATCTGAGGAAAATGAATTTTGCACAAATTGGATTAGTTGATTTCTTGACTGTTCATTCCTTCAATCTCACCATTCAGGCCAGAAGCATACCATAGAGATACCTGGGCTCAAAGTTGTCCAAAGTATGCATGCTTTTTGTGCCTGTGTTCTGCTGTGTTCATGTTCTCTTCTCTCTCAACATCAATATGCATATAAAGTTAGCAGAGGACTCTTTTGACCAAATTATTCTGGACCAAAATGTGAAACAGCAGACCTGATCACAGGATTCCAAATGATAATGAGAACTATTACCCTAATGAGCAAGAAAAGTCCTTCCTTTTACAGAGCTTATCCAGGAGCCCACAATCACTTACCTCAGGAAGTGCTTCATTGTGCCTTATGGATTATTCAGATATTATACAAACTGTACCAAGTAATTGCTTCCAAATTTGCCTTTGTCAAAGCAGGTGTAGGCTGTGGAAAGAAATTAGATATGTTTATTAATAAGGTGATTGGACACCCAAATCAAACATTTCTCCTTACTGTGGCAAGCAGACAACTGGCTACAGACCCAAAATACCATCAGTGGAACAGGCAATTAATTCAGTGGGTAGAGGTGAAAGCTACAGCCTTTCACTTTAAAATCATACAATTTGCCTGCCATTTTAAGCCACTTGCTGGAGGGAGTATTAGTTCATGAGCTTCAATAGTAAGCTTTCCCCCCCTATTTTGGGTATTATTACTGTACAGTATTTGTAGGAAAAATAAAAATGAAGAGTCATAAAAGTAACTATCCTGATTTCCAGACATCTAGCCATCTTAAACTTGGTGTTCTCAACCTTCTAGAATTACGACTCAAAAAGAACTAGAAACTGGGCCGGGGATTTAGCTCAGTGGTTCTGGCGCCTGCCTCACATGCACAAGGTCCTGAGTTTGATCCCCGGTACCAAAAATAAAAATTAAAAAAAAAAGAGATAGAAACTTGTTCAACATCTCTGGCCATTAGAGAAATGCAAAATTAAAACAACACTGAGATTCCCTTTTACTCCAGAATGTATGGCCAATATCAAGAAATCAAATAATAAGAAATGCTGGAAAAGCTGTGGAGAAAAAAGAACTCTTCTACATTGTTGGTGGAAATATAAACTACTACAACCATTATGGAAATTAATATGGAGAGTCCTAAAAAAACTAAAAATAGAAATTCCATTTGACCTAGATATTCCTGAAACAGTTAAAGTCACCATATTTCACAAATACATGGATGCCCATGTTTATAGCAATGCAATTTATAATAGCTAAATCTTGGAAATGGCCTGTATGTTCATCAAAAGATGAACGGATGAAGAAAATGCAGTATTTATATACACTAGAGTACTACTGTGACACAAACAAGGATAAAGTTGAATCATTTGCAGGAAAATAGATATATCTTGAGACCATAATGTTAAGTGAAATAAATCAGACACACAAGCTCAAGTATTGCATGATTCCTCTTAAATGAGAAACTCAAATTAGAAATAAAGACAAGAATAAAATAGATAATAGGTAAGAGGGACATAGATCTTTTTCAAAGGGGAAGGGGATCAAGTGATGGAAAGAGGGGGAAGGGAGGGAAAGGAAAGGGGATGAAAACAAGAATTGAGATGTTTTATGTATATACTCCAATTCCACACTAGGAATGTAAACATTATGTACTGGAAACATGTACTAATAAAAATATGTAAAAATTTAAAAAGAACTAGAAACAACAGCTAATATCATTAAGTTAAAGTGCACCTATATGGGTTTTTTTTTTTTTTTTCCTGGGGTTCAACTTCGTTTCTTTGTGTTTGCGCAGCAGGCATTCCACCCAGTTGGTTGTCTGGTTTGCCCCAG